ATATCCAAGAGTCTGGCAGGGGGGCAGGGCATCTGGCAGGGGGCAGGGCATCTGGCAGGGGGCAGGGCATCTGGTAAGGGGGGCAGGGCATCTCATCTGGTAAGGGGGGCAGGGCATCTGGTAAGGGGGCCAGGGCATCTGGTAAGAGGGCCAGGGCATCTGGTAGGGGCAGGGCATCTGGCAGGGGACAGGGCATCTGGTAAGGGGGGCAGGGCATCTGGCAGGGGGGCGGGGCATCTGGCAGGGGCCTTTCTGCTGTGTTGTAACACGACAGAAAGGCAAAAGGAGTGTGCTGAGACAGAGATCTGGCTGAATCTATGTGTTCATCATGAGCCTACCCCATCAGGAGCGCAGGCCAACACAGTCACAAAGACAGAGCCCAAGGGTCCCAGCTCTTAGGACTGTTAAAGGGTCAGTCACATTTCAGCATGAGGTTCAGGGGATACATGTAGCTGGAGTTTTCCTGTGTCCACCCGGCTCCTGTAGCTGCTCAGACCCAAGTAAACACACAGAGACTTGCATTACTTATAAACTGTATGGCGTGGCAGGCTTCTTGTTATCTAGCTCTTACATCTTAAATTAACCCATTTCTATTAATCTATAAGTTGCCACGTGGCTTGTGGCTTACCCGGTACTTTTACATCTTGCTTCCTCTGTGCCTGGCTGGCGACACCTGACTCAGTCTTCCTGTTCCCAGCATTCTCTTCTCTCTTTGTCCTGCCTGTACTTCCTGCCTGGCTACTGGCCAATCAGCACTTTATTTATTAACCAATCAGAGCAACACATTCATAGCATACAGAGCGATATCCACAACAGATACATTCAGAGCCTAGCACATGCCTTAGGTCTGCGGGTCAGGTTCCTGATTGGGAGGCACGTAATCTTCACTTAGTTGTGTGAGAGAGAGGGCCAGAGGGACGAACACTCTGCTGCTGTTTCTGCCTGCCCAGCCCCTTCTTACAGGAGGAACCAAAGGCTCATAGCTGTGGAGTACCCTGTGAGGGTCTCAGGGCTCAGTGCACTCACCTGTGGGACTGACAGACACTGCCTTTCGGAGCATTAGTTCTTCCTGTCTCACAGAATGGAGATTCCCACTGCAGCAGTGCAGGTGAGGAGTGGACCTCAGACACCGTGTGGACACAGCCCCAGTCGACCTCAGACACGGTGTGGACATAGTACCTAGTGGACCTCAGACACCGTGTGGACACAGTACCTAGTGGACCTCAGACACCGTGTGGACACAGCCCCAGGGGACCTCAGACACCGTGTGGACACAGCACCCAGGGGACCTCAGACACCGTGTGGACACAG